ATAGACGTTGGAACAGGGTGCCTGGGTCTTCCTCTCGACGGTGGGAGGTCTTCGCATTTCATTGGACATCATTGAGTGCATGAGACTAAGGGCCGATCCCGATAAGTGGACCAACAATCAACGCACCAGCGAACAACAAACTTAACCGAAATTCAAAGGCCTTGCGTGACAGGTCTCTAGAAGCTTCCACACGGGGGCTTCGTTCACGCTCCCGAGTTGGATTTACGCCCCACTGCCTTGTGGGTTAGACTTTTGAGTCGAAGGCTCCAGTTAGGGTTCCCAAAGAAAAACCCCTTCGTCGGTGTGAGCCTCCGTGAAGTATGTCGTGCCCTCCATCCATTTGGGAAACCATCTTTCCCTTCTATCTAGTTCTTCTCAATCCAAAATAACCTCAGATGCCTCCTCTTTACGCCACCCATCTTATATCAATCAGTGTTTTACAAGCAAGGCCAGACAATCAGGAGCTATAGGATTTTTAAAGTCAAAATCCCCTTTTCACTTAGCCCCATTCAATGTCCGCACACTATCAGATCGGTCAACAAGCTGCCTTAGCTAGAACCCTTGAAACTTTCAATTTAGATGTCTGTTGTGTCACCGAAATACGCATACAAGTCCCTACTTCCATTACCTCCCTGCGTTCTACTGACCCATCCTCACACTTCACCCTTCATGTGTCAGGCGATTCGGTGCCCGAAGCTCGCGGTGTTGGGATTGCGCTAAGTGCCAACGCGGAGCACTCGCCTCCTAACTGCATTCCAGTCAGTAGCCGACTGTGTGCTGTACGTCTCAACAGTTCTGCACGAGTCAACAGCCACAGAATGGAGCGTCGACGTCTATTCGTCGTATCGGTGTACGCACCGAACGACTGCAGTATTCCTGAAATCAAGGATCAATTCTACAAAGATCGTTCTCCATTATTGTGGATACAGACGAAATTCTCCTTTCACCTGAGAGACAACAGCAGAAAGGCCACCGACAAGGGATACCCACGATATATCATCCACGATGCCTAGAATTCGGCCTTCCAAGCGTAGCTCTACAATAACCTGTCAGTTCAACCACCAGCCAAAGGACTCAATGAACACTGGAAGCAAATCAAGGAAGCTATGCAAATATCAATAAAAACAACGTCAAACCGTCAAGCAGGCTCAAGACAAACGATGTATCTGGTCGACCTCGGCTGCCCTGCTGGACTCTCGCAGAACTCTTCCTCGCGATGCCGTATATGACACAGCGCGCAAATCCCTCAAATGCCAGCTCATCAAGAGTCTGAGGAATTTCCGCGAGAAGTGGTGGATAGGAAAGTGTAGAGAGATGGAGAAGACTGCGGCTATTGGTAATAGTCGCAATCTTTTCCGTCTAATTAGGAATACGGGTCCTAGGAAAATAAGCGTAAGTTAGGTAATTAAGGAATCCGATGGCACACTGATTCACGATCAGCAACG